AGTAAGGTTATGTATATTATTTACATAGCTACTATGTAACTAGTGTGACTAGTATGGTGTTTAGGTTGATTGATGAGTATGTTATGCCTAATTCTATTTGATTTTGGGAGTTGAGCATGTTAAATTTGAGTTTTATGAATGAGTATGTTATATGTTTATAGTTTATGCCTCATGGTGTTTAATAAAATGTCAAAGTATGTTCAAGTATGTTATTTTGATTGATATTGTTTATAACATGCTTAGTGATGGTTAGGGAATGTTATTATATACTTCATGATGTAATTAATATGTTGATGCTTATGAGATGTTGTCACATGCTCAGATAATATAGTTAACATTGTGATAGAATAGAATTGTAATTATACATTACATTGCATATGCATGAGTTGTATTATATTCGTGAGCATTGACATAAATGTGAGTGTGTGTGCATGGGTTGAGTTGATTGGTGGGCTTGAAAAAATTGAACAAACGTCTAATTGAGTCACAAGGAGTATTGCATGAAAAATGTGTCGGGTATAGTAAGAAGAGATACATTCTCCTCGTGGGTAGAGCCCAGTTACTTGGTTCACACACTTGCCTGGTGGTGTAATTCTAGAAAAGTGTTGGTGTATTTGAAATCGGAGGCGGGATGCCCTCGAATGTCGTGTCAATTTCGTGGCCCATTAGTGTGATGTCCATAAATTACCTACCTAAGGAAGACACACGTGTTGATAAATAATAATTGGATGTTTAACATCAATGACGGGGACTTGGAATGCCCGATTCATGTCATGACATCATAGCATATGTCGTCATAGCATGTGTCGTGCATGGGAGCCTGAGAGGGGATTCGGGTGTTGGACATGCATTCATAAAGTATTATTCATGTTTAACATGCTCCGTGTCATTTCTATGTTACTTGTGATATATGATTGACTTGAAGAAAGTGCATTCATATCATATACATTAAGATTGAGAGGTATTCTCTATAGGAAATACCCTACTGAATTTCGGCTCACCTCGTTATGAGAACATTTTTCAAATATTTGACGAGCTTCTGTTGACGGCCGCTTTGAGGACAGAGCCAAATTGTGGCTCTCGTTATGAATTTTGTAGTCCCTTGTGTACATTTATATTTTGGTCTTGTATAAATTTAATTACAAAACTTGTATTTTTGTTAAAGGCTTGTAATGAGACTTTATGTATGAACATTTATTCTTTTAAGGAATGGATGTTGTACAAAAATGGTTGTGGATGAATAGTTAATGTCTAATACTTAGAGTTTGGGATGTTGGACCTTGGAATTGTCATATGAGTGTTGTATGCATATGTTGTGTATTGGGCAGAGCTCTAAATACAAAAAATACTTTACCCGAATTTTGTTTAATTATGAATCCCGATATATAGGGCTTGTTTAATTATAGATCATGAGACGTAACAGCATAGTATCGGTTTAAATGACATCTATGGATGTTCCGTGGGTTGATGGGTAATCAACGAGTTGAAAAAAAATCCCCTGAATTTTGGGGCGTCATAGTTTGTGTGCATTTTGGTACAATATGGGGTATTAACATGTGTTTGTGTGTATGCGTTTTTTAGTATATTAGTGTGTGTGAGTAATCTTTTTNCCGTCGGAATTCGATCAACCAATAATTTTAGTTACTTTATTTGACGAGGAAAATGTGTCAACACCAACAACGACTATTTTTGATCACTTTCGAAAATCGAGAGTGTTGGGGCAAGGGCTTGAAAGGACTTACTTTGGGTATTCTAGAGAGATTTTCTTCTTGCTACACTTCAAGAGGTGAAGGTTTCGTCCTATTTAAGNACAAAATCACTTGATGTTTGCTACTACTAAAAAGAGCGGAAATATGTTAACTTATCGCTATTAGTAATCAATCCTCTAGTTTTGACCTCACGAACTTTTTTATGTTAGTTTATTAGTGTGTGTGTGTGCGCGCGCACTTTGGTGTATTAATGTGTGTATTTTAATGTATTAGTATGTGAGAGGTGTGTGTGTACACAGGTAAGGTTATCTATAATATAAAATATGAAAGACTTCAATAAGTCTATCTATCAGTCTCAAATAAACTTATTCAATGATTACCAATATCTCTATCAAAATCATTCACATTAAATTTCTTTCTCCCGTCTCTCAAATTCATCACTTCTCATTTATGTTAAACCGTACATTCAGGCACGAGTTACCCCTAGTAACCCTTCAAAGTAAAGTTACTACATTTGGCGGTGATGTTATAGTCATTTGAGGTTACGTTACAATTAAGTAGAGGTAAAGTTATCACATTTAGAGGTGAGGTTAAAACTTTCTAAGATAATGTTATAATCATTTAAGGGACAGTTACTACTTTTAGAACTGATGTTATAACTATTTGACGGGATATTACAACATGTAGAGATAGAATTTTCACATTAAAAGTAATGGAAGACTACAACCTTGTAAGGTAAGGTTACAACCCTCACTGTAACCTTACCTTAAAGATGAAGTTACAATCTTCAAGAAAAAATTATCACATTTGAAGATGAAGTTACAATGATTTCAAGTTATTTCTAGAATGTTTGCAATTTCAATAAATTAACACTAAATTAATTAAAATAATAAATTATATTTTGACCCCTTCAACTATGAATTTTTTTTTACTTTGCCCCTTGAACTATTAAAATTTTCACATTGTGTCCTCAACTACTTTAATTATTTCACCCTGCCTTAATCTCAAACATCCATTATCTTTTTGGACGAAAATTGTTGACGTGTAAAATGAAATAACTTTTCATTAGATATGTAACGAACATTAATAATTAAGGGAATGTGAAATTAATCACATAGTTTAGGATGTAATGTAAAAAAAATGATAGTTGAGATAACAAACTGAAAAAATAATCATAATTGAGGGGATCAAAATGTAATTTAATCTAATTGAAAGTTATTGTTGATTATAAAGATCTAAGGGTTTAAAAAAAATGAGTTTATTAAAGGGAGTGAGCAAAAAAAGTAAAGATAAACCGATCGAAAAGTGCTAATAATTATTCTTTTTTGTCTTATTTTCTCGACATATGAGATTTGACCCTTAATTTTAACAAAAGTCATAACAGTGATAGTTTAGTCGAAAGCAAACCCCAAATCAAACCAAATATCATTTTTCGGCTGTCAACTAACCCCACGTGCCTTTGACACATTGCATATGGTCACTGGCTTGGCCAATAGTAACCTATTACTAAAGCTTCTGCCCGAGGTTAGGTGAATACACACAAGCTCTACCAACGTTGGTAGAATTACCAATTTTTCTCCATCTTTAACATTTAGTATTTACAAACAAATTCGCAATACTTCGTATCGTATGTAAATTATATTGTACTAAAATTTGTCTAACTTATACTTGATCTATTTAAAAATGTGTATAGCGGGTTTTGTGTCTTATTAGATTTGTGTTTGGGTTTGTGTTGTCTGTAACCCGGTTAAGATAATTTTTTATCGTATTTAGTCAGGTTCATGTTAATTTATTTATTTGACTGGTCTAATAGATTCACACATTATGCCAAATTTGTGTTGGATTTAGAGGTGGTTGTGTCTAGAATTGCCTCCCCTAAATGTGACTATGCTTAAAATAAATTAAAATAGTTTATGAAAAATATGATAGTTGAGAGGGATAAAATAAAAAATATAATCATAGTTAAGCGCATAAAAGTATAAATTTCTCTAATTGAAAATTATTGTTAATTATAAAGGGGTAAGGGTAAAAACTAGAAGTGTTTATTAAAGGGAGTGGAAAAAAAAAAGTCTAATAGTTTTTTTTTTTTTATCTTATTTTCTCTCTTTTTCTTTTTTTTTAGCTCTTGAAAAAAAGGAGGAGCGAAGGAGAACGCTCAAATATCACTCTAATAGGCCTTCATTGGTAGAATCATAAGACTCTTAATTGCGTCCGTTATACTTCTACCTCTCCAGAACAAACCTAATTAGCCTAATATAACAGTCAATTACCGAACTCCAATGTGAATTTTAAGACTTGAACTTTTAATTTCAGAGTGAGAAGTTTGGTCAGTACCCCACTAAACCACCTCACTCGATAATTGTTTTATTTTTTTGATATCTGAGATTTGACCTAAATTATAATAGTGACAATTTAATTGAAAACCTCCAGACGGTGCAGTATAAACATTTAAAAATATTGTAACGCAAATTGAGAAAATATAATAAAATAATTTAAATTAGAGAGGGTCAAAATCCCTAACCTCAAAAACCACAAGATGGAAAGCAAAAAATAATTTTTGGTATAGATACCTCAACAAACCAAATATCAATTTTTTTGGGCTATCAACTAACCCCCACGTGTCTTTGACACATTGCTTATGGTCACTTGCCAGTAGTAACCAGTTACTTGAACTTCTACCCGAGGTTAGGTTAGGTCAAGTCAACACCCACAAGCTCTTACCTACTTTTTTCCCACTTTAACATTTGCAAACTACTCATCTCAACCCAACTCAATTGATATTAGTGGTATGACAAGAATATGTTGCTGACAATTGATCTCGTCGTATCTAAGTTGTGTCGTATTAAAATTTGTCCAACTTATACTTGATCTATTTATACGTGTGGATAGCGAGCGGGTTTATGTCTTATAGCTTTATGTTTGAGTTTGTGTTTTGTATAAACTGATTAATATATTTTTTATGGCATTTAGTCAGTTTCATATTAATTTTTTTATTTGACGGATTTAACAGATTTACACATTTATCCTCCAAAATTACTGAATATAAACCCAAATTGCAAACTTAGTGCTGATTTTGTGTTGGATATAGAGGTGGTTGTGTCTAGAATTGCCTCGCCTAAATGTGACTTTGCTTAGGTGAAATGCATCAAGAACAAAGTAAAAACATTTTGAAACATCCCATTTTCAATGACCTCCAACTAGCAATTGTAGCTTACCTTCCAGTCTAAAAAATGTACACTTTTCTCTCTCCCCTAGAAGTGTGATATTGCACAAATAAATAAACTCTCGTTGTCTCACCTGACCATACAACAAACACTTCAGCAGATTATTTAGTGGTAGGCAACTAACATGGGCTCTGAGGGCTATCAGCCACTGCTACTTGGACTCAATCCAGATGTTCGGATCACGGACTTGTCGGCCAATGCAGCGGAGGAACTCTTGGTGCACGAACCGGTGGCTGTTCGATGGTACCCCCGACTCGTGGCGTGGGAGTCGAGGCTTCTTTGGCTCCTATCGGGGGCTTCTATCGTAGTTTCGATTTTCAACTACATGCTCACTTTCGTGACTTTGATGGTCACAGGGCACTTGGGTACATTGGAGCTAGCCGGGGCCTCCATTGCCACTGTTGGAATACAAGGGCTTGCCTATGGGATCATGGTAATTAGTATTTTTTTTGTCAGTTAGAGCATCACTGCTTGTATTCTAGTTGCTTCCATGCATAGACAAAGCACATCTTAATGTACCATTTGATTGCTTTAAGTGTTTCTTTTGCCTTTTAAATTGCTTAACTACTTTTTTGAAGCAACGGTTGTTTTGAATTTTGTTTTGCTTCTTATTTGTTTGCTTTTTTTTTTTTCCACGCTTAATCCTCTTCTTCAAGCTTTATCTAGATATTAGCAATAATCCCGTATCTAAAGACACTTTACAGTACACATATGCCCGCACCCCCTCACCCCTCAAATACTCCCGCTCGTTAGTGATCACAAAGTCCTTTTGCTAATGGCCTCTCTAATCACAGCTGGGGATGGCTAGTGCTGTTCAAACTGTTTGTGGCCAAGCATATGGAGCTAAGCAATATGCAGCAATGGGAATCATCTGTCAGAAAGCAATTGTTTTGCACATTGGAGCAGCTATCCTCCTAACAATCCTCTATTGGTTTTCGGGGCCAGCCCTTAAAGCAATCGGTCAATCAGAGGACATAGCCGAGCAAGGCCAGATTTTTTCACGAGGTTTAATCCTTCAAATTTATGCATTCGCAATAAGTTGCCCGATGCAGAGGTTTCTTCAAGCACAAAACATTGTGAACCCTTTAGCTTGTATAGCTGTTGTTGTATTCCTCCTGCACATTCTTCTCACATGGCTGGCTGTTTATGTATTGGACTATGGCCTTCTCGGAGCTGCTCTTACGCTTAGTCTCTCTTGGTGGTTGCTTGTCATCATCCAATGGCTTTACATTGTTTTCAGTCCCTCTTGCAATGAGACTTGGACTGGTTTCTCTGTGAAAGCTTTTAAAGACATTTGGCCTTATTTCAAGATCACAGTTGCTTCTGCTATTATGTTGTGGTCTCTCTCTCTCTCTCTCAAACACACACACACAATGTGAACTTCTACTGATTCTTGTAATTTTCTGTTGTAGTTTGGAGATATGGTACTTCCAAGGTCTGGTGCTTATATCAGGCCTCCTCCCAGACCCAACAATCTCACTAGACTCCATTTCCATTAGGTAGAGGCAAAAAAATTTATGTTTTCATTTCTCCTTCTAAACTTATAGATATTAACAGAGTTTAGTGTGATGAAAATACAGCATGAATTACTTGAACTGGGATATGCAGTTTATGTTGGGACTCGCCACTGCAGCCAGGTATGCAATGGTCAAAATACAGTTTAGTAACGCTTTTTGAAAGTATTTTTTTTCCTTATCAACAACAAAAAGGGCATAATTATGTCAATCACAAATCCCTTTTTCTTTTTTCTTTTTTTTTGTGATCATGGCAGCATTCGAGTCGGCAATGAGCTCGGGGCAGGTCATCCAATGGTGGCAAAATTCTCAGTCATAGTAGTGAACACAACCACTATTCTTATAAGTCTAGTTTTCAGTGCAATTGTGCTGATATTCAGGGTTGGATTAAGCAAACTTTTTACTAGCGATTCTGTAGTTATTGAGGCTGTGTCCGGTTTGACTCCGTTGCTAGCAATATCTGTTTTCTTGAATGGCATCCAGCCCATATTGTCAGGTAAGTAAGTCTTCAATGGCATTCTTTACCTGTTGCGCAATCTCGGATTTTGGAACCAGAGAGTGTAAACTCAGATGGAGCCTTCCTGTGCTCTGTGATCAACCCAGATAGGGTCCTCAATGAAATGTGCTTTGTTCCTCTTTTGAACTTCAGGTGTGGCCATTGGGAGTGGATGGCAAGCTATTGTAGCTTATGTTAACCTAGCCACTTACTATATCATTGGCCTCCCCATTGGATGTGTTCTTGGCTTCAAAACTAGTTTAGGAGCAGCCGTAAGTAAAATCTCCATCTATCCCTCCAACTCCCCCCCATTCCCCCCTTTTGTCTCCCTTCCTCTCTCACTCTCTCTATATATATATATGTATATGTTTAAATAGTGCATAAGGTTTTGAATAAAATGGATGTATGCATGGTGGCAATTGCAGGGAATTTGGTGGGGGATGATAATTGGAGTTGTTTTACAAACATTAGCTCTGTTTATCCTAACTGTGAGAACAAACTGGAATGCTGAGGTAGTCCTATCCCATGTCTGATTTGATTATCCAATCTCTCAAGGATACAGCTTCCCATTTTTTATTATAACTATTTGGGTAAGATTAATTTTTGAATCTCAGCTTTTGGTGATTGAAATTTCAGGTTGCAAAAGCTGCTGACCGCTTGAAGCAATCTGCAAATGAAGAAATCTTAGACAAGAATATGGGGGGAATCATATGACTAAATTTAGTCACTAATATGTTTCTTTTTCCCCCGTTTCATTTCTTTTGGTTTAATTATATTTTGCCCCCTCAAACTATGAGATTTTTTCTCACTTTGCCCCCTTCACCTATCATGTTTCTTATATTTAACCTTCAATTATGAATAACATCAATTATGGTTAATAGTTTCATATTCCTCTAATGATTAATGTCCGTCAAAAATTTACTGAATAATTATTTTACTTTGTCACCTGAACTATGTAACTTTGTTTCACTTTGCCCCCAACATGTTTGACATTTTGCATCCAACAGATAACGAACATTTGTGTTTGGATAATATGAAAACAATTCTGGTAGCCGAGAAGCAACTATGTTAATTCACATGGAACAAGATCCTTAAACTATCATTTTAATTATCACAAATAAATTAAAATAGTTTATAAGAATGTCTCTTTTTTATATACAGTAGATAACATACCGTTGGCGAAAAATATATAAAAGGAATTTCACTCCATATAGCAAACCATGTCGGCTACTCATCCTGTCGTGATGATATATGACATTTATGCTCCGTTTTATAAGAAAGATAGAAAGTAAGAGGGATACATTTTCTATATTTTAAGAAAGGAAAATATAAATGATACATTTTCCTTCCTTTGTATTTGGTTGAATGGATGAAAAAAAAAATGATTAACTTTTTTTTTTTTGTGCTGACTAAGATTAGGGATAACATTCGAGTCGAGTCGTGTCGTGTCAAATTCGTGTTGATTCATTACGAGTTTGTGTTGAACATTAATCAAACCTAACTCAACTCATTTAACTAATTGTGTCGTGTCAAATTACGAGTTCACCTGTTTATTTTCGTGTCGTGTTCATATTCGTGTTGATCTACATAAACTTTGAATAAAAAATTTTACGCTAATATTTTATTTTTTTATTTTTTATTTTAAATTTATTTTTAAAAAATATATATATAAATACATATTTTATCATTTTATTTTTATATAAAATTAATGTATACATAATATATGTATATATTAAAAGATATATAAACAAATAACATATATCTCAACACAAATAATTAACTTTTCATCCACTTTCCTTCTAATTTTAGAAGGATTAATTTTGGTAAGTTGGAAGAAAAATTAATCCATCCACTTTTCCATCCTTTTTATTTTTCTTCTTTACCAAACATAATATTTTATTTATCCCTCCAACTTTCCGTCCTTTCATTTTTCCATCATACCAAGCAGAGCATTAGATTGACTATGAACCCCATCGAACAGTAGAACTTACTCTTCATCCAACGGTTCCAATGAAACGCACATCATCTTGTCAATAAATAAAATCAAATTTTTAGGTCCTTCTAACATTACTCATGAGTCATAACTTCAAGTGTGTGTGTGTGTGTGTGAGAGAGAGAGAGAGAGAGAACCAAGCATTTTATTTAAATAGTTAGGCTTCATAAAGTATACTACAATGAAATGACTGTCTGTCCATAAGGGATCCTCCCAATCCACAACATAATCTGCCAACAAAACACTTACCACAGGCTACATAAGAGAAACAACTTTCAACATTTTTCTTTAATTGTCCACATGATACCATACCATACCATTACCATTAGCTACATCTCATAAGACAGGAATATACACACATCAACTAATGCTTTGATCATTTGACGGGAAAATCTGTGACTTTCCACATCTTTCACAAGCCAGTTGGCGTGTATCCTGTCAGCCACATCGCATGGTAACATATAAATAATAATTGGTGCTACCATGAGGAAGGGGCCTAAACCTTACATACGGGAAATCAAGAGAGGGACGGACACTGGCGTCTCATCACCCATGACTGGCTGGAACAGATCCAACTCCCCATACCGCTCCAGCACACGCATCCTGCATTCCTCAGCAGCCAATAACCCTGTTGAGTATGCGCCATGTACTGATCCTGGGTAATCGATGCTCGTTGCTTCCCCAGCAAAGAAAAGGTTATCCACTGGGACCCTAAGCCTTTCATACAGATCATGGGATTTTCCTACTGTATCATAGCTATAGGAGCCCAGTGAGTTTACGTCTGTGCCCCACCGAGACACAAGATACTGAATCTGCACATACACCCAAAAAAATGTCGAATTAGAAAGCACAAAAGTTTCATGCAAAAAGTGCCACATATATTGCAATTTTTGTTCCTTTTGCAAATGCAGATCGATTCTTTAGTTCTGTTTCCTTCACCAAAAAGCACTGGGCCAGTTTGAACAAAAATGTTTCTCAAGAAACCTAGCAATAATAGCTGTTCCTACGGGCACATTAGAGGTTCCCACAAGGTTCGAGAATGAATTAAAACAGAATCTGAGACTCACAAACACAGGCACACATAAGATCTGTGTAAAAAGAAGAAGTTAGCAAAATTACCGGGGAAGAAGCATTGGGAAGAATTTTCTTAAGTTGCATAAACGCGAAATTAGCAGCAGCCTCTTCCGACATTTTCTCAATGTCATGGGCCAGCTGCCCAGCAGGCATATAAACAAGAACAGAATGACCTGTAGCCTTGTGAAGATTAAGAAAGTAGCTGCAACCATATGACGTCTCTGCCACCACCCCCAAGAACTCCACATTTGGCCAAAACACCTTCTCAAAGTGCAAAACTATCTTATTCTCAATACCTAGTCCAAGGTCAGAAATAGCTTCTTCCTTCCACTCAGGTAGTCTTGGCTCAAATTTGAGGCAATTTGATTTCAAAACACCAAGAGGAACAGCAACAATGGCAGCATCAGCGATGAACGTCCTCCCATCTTCAACTGTTACTTTCACTCCATTGTAACGTCTAACTACTTTTGTAACCCTAAGGAATGTATGAACCAGGTCAAGAAATGTAAACTAGTCGGTGACGTCAGAATACAGGACCTAAACAGGGAGAAATAATTGAGATTATAAAATTATTTATTTATACCTGTGGCCCAAGCGGATGTCAAGACCTTTCGCAAGTGTGTTTATAACAGGAAGATAACCCCGGACCATAAGCCCATGCCCACCAGGAAGCAGTTCTTCCTGCGAATCAATTAAACAAAGGTAAGACAACTTGAGAACAGTTTGCAGGCAGCCTGCAAGCCCTCTTTCTCTATTTCCTTTTTTTATATATAAAAATGGATGCTAAAACAACATCAACTCATGTAAAAAACATCCATAACACAACGATTAATAATGGTTCGGTCACATCCACAGTGATTTACGTCCACTCCCAACCAACTCAGTTGAAATTCAACTCCACTATTATTTAACAAACAAGATTACAAATACCAATTCAAAAAAATTGTGGTTTTCAATTCGCTTACAATGACCATGCTGTGAACGCTTACTACACTGACTGTTTCCATTGAACCTGTCACTCAACCACCAGCTAAAACAGCAAGTTGTGTGACGTGTGAGTGCCTAAGTGTACAAAAAGCACTTACACATACCAAAAAAAAAAAAAAAAAGAAATCAAGTTTGCAATGCAGCTCTTCTATTTGCAGTGAACTGGCTAACAGGAAGGGGTACATGTTCTGCCTGGACTCATACCCAAAACCCCTGATGGTTCCACACGAGCTCCGAAAGGGTTGGGCTCCTGCCCGACGGTTAGCACAAATCTAAGAAGGATATGGGTTGTCATAGCTGACAGAACATTAGGCTCTTTCATCTTAATTTGAATTTGACAGTGACAGGGGCAGACGACAGGGTTCGCAATCAATTGACAGGAACCAGCGGACTCCCAAAGCCAGTCGACTAACTGCATCATTTTTTCTGTTCATTCAATCCCATAATGATCCCAATGCTGCAAGGAGGTCTACTATGTGTAGCCTCATCCATCCTAGAGCCACTAAAGTGTTTCTAAGACTCTAGACACTCTTTGGAGGGTCTTCAAGCTTCATCAAGCTGTGTCGCGCGTTGAATTAGGCCTTTTGAACTTTGTCGCACATTGATTCCTTATAGCTTAATCACGAGCAATTCTTCAAACAGCTTCAAGACACAAATAGAGAACACTAATACACTCATGAAATTATCAACTACTAACACTGGGCAAAACAGAAGCCATCACGTGGCCAATCAAAATAAAAAATTTATGGTCCTTTCAAAGTTGGTGAAACCTGCCAATACAAATAAAGTTACCACTTCAATCTCAGAATTTTTTTAAAATGTTTTCCTAAGTTATTTTAGGCCCACACTAGATAAAATACTACTGTATACCCAGCATTTATTCGCTCCGTACTTGGCTACACAGCATTTACCATGGGCACGACAACTGGTACACCAGAGGTGAGTCCTTCATTGACTGGAAGCTCTCCTAAGCTTTCTTTCTTTTGCTCCTAAGGTTAATAGGCAAATGTCCAGTGATATTTGGTGTAATAGCTTTTCACACTTTTATCTAGTCATTCTGAATCAATCAAGGAAAAGGACATATTTTTTCATCTTTAAGCACTCATTATACCAGCAGGTAACGAACAAACAATTGAATTGTAATACAAGAATTTGTGGCACATGGCAGTCAAGGTCATGCCAAAGTACGAGTAGGTCACTTTCAACTGTTAATCAACCACAGTGCAAGAGAACACATAAATCAGAATCTGATTCAAACCTATATCCCCTAATAAAGACACCATATCTTGTTTAGATTCCGGACTGTAGAATGAACAAAGCTGCCTAAAATTGGCTTATGATTAGCTCAGTTAGAGGCTTACTATAGACCACACAAGATAAGGGAACTAATCGATTCCATTTCTTAGTCGAGATTAAATACAGTTTGGCAAGTTCACAAGCACTCTAGACAAACAAGTTGATCCAAGGTCATGTAAACACTTGTTATCAACTGCACAAGAGGCATACTATAAAGCGCTTGAATAAGAAACCAAGCCAGCAAAGCCACATCCAGTCTAAAAGACAGATTTAGCAGACAATATGAATACCCAACTGAATAGCTTTCTGATATGAATGTCCCACAACACAGTACACTTCTCATTTTCTTTTTTCTTTTTCCTTTTGGGCATTAAAGTTGCAATTCGAAATATTCTTTTTCTATTCGTCTTACAATTTTATCTTGTTGGGCAGACTTTAAAATGCATGTTGCAGAAAGGGCAAAAAATTACAAATCAACAGCTCATATGGATGCACTTCAAACTTTTACAGGATTGTTTCTTATAGTAAATTCATCTGCTTATGAAAAAAAAAATCATCTGTGTATGAAAAGGTAACCAGTCTTACATCTAGAAATACCTCCATATGTTCTAAACATGTGATCTTGTTAAAGCCTACAACCTACCCCTAGAGCACAACCTTCTAGAGAATACATGGTGTACACTCTTCCCCCTCCTGCAAAATGATCTTAGACAGTGCTATGACCACTAAGAAGAAACAACTACTCTCAGCTCAAATCCAAGTCGACTCAATAAATCAATCAATTCAGAGCATTCACGATAAAAAAGTCAAGCCCAATGCTAGTTCGAAACAGAGAGATTTTTTCAGCTGAGCCTCTTACTCGGTGTGTGTCAGCTCATTTACAACCAAATGGAGTTTATTCTTATACTGTGAATGTGGTAAACTTGTTTTTGAAACACGAATTTGTTTAACTCAGAAACCTAGATCTGGCCATCGTGCACACCATTATATGGCCCTGCAAATTTTAAATTCACAAGTTGCAAATAAGTATTTTAATATTCTTAAGCATTTGGGTAAAATAGAAAAGACAAAATAAAACAAGAAATTTGCACCACAAATTTTTTTTCTTCCTTGAACCAATCCAGATATATAACTACCAACACTAAAATTTGAGTGTGTAGAAAACTAGCCTGATCCCAGCCTTTCAGTGAGATGGTATCAGCATCTGCAGCAAACCAGCCCTCCATTCTGCACAAGTACCACTGCAACACCTTATGAGCAAGCCCCTCCAACCTGTAATAGCAATCCATTTACATAAATGTCTTGACTAGAGACAAGCATGAAGCATATTACTAAAATATGGTACGTTTATAGGACCTCAAATCTGGCCTCCTTTCAAAAACCATCGAGATCGCACGGTGTATAGACATGTCTTCACTGTGTTCCTTTCTTATTTGATCCGTCTGTATTAAAAGGAGTAAGGAACAAATCAGCAAATTGATGATAAATCACCAGCATATTTTAAAGGACTATTAGAGCAACTATTTTCCAGCAGAGACAACACCGACAATCAAATCCTATATATTATCAATAAAATATATATATATATATATATATATATATATATAGAGAGAGAGAGAGAGAGAGAGATGCCTCTTTCAAAATGTCCTCGAATGCCTCGCCAATCTTTGAGACTAATTCCTGAGGAACTTGATTTCCATCCATATCAAAGAGTGCATAGCTGAACAAAAATAAGAAGTCAATGGATCAGTCCATATTTTTCACCTTTTAACATAAAGTTGGGGGAGAGCTTTATGTGCCCCAAAGATAAATTTTTATGTATTTATGATGTTCAATGTATTGTCCTTTGTAGTTTGAGTATGGGTGGTTGGACTACTGGTCCACCATTCTACTTTTCTATTGTACCTTTCTTTCATAACAATAATTTTTTTTCTTACAAAAAGGGAGCAATCCCTACTAGGCTTTAAATGTTTATAAAGTAGAAATTTCAAATTCCTGAAATGCTAAAATTTAGATTAAAATTCAAAAAGACCTTTCCCAAGTGTCTAAAATGTTATGAATGAATTCATTACTGAGTATTCTCAACACCACAATAATGAGAAAATAGTTTTAGTGAAGGGTCCAGTGCAGCCAATAGAACAAAACATGATACCATCTTTGCTTAAAAGTTTGCACGCTTAAAATCATAGCAATAAGTTATTGCCGTCAAGAACTTATTCTCTTTCTGCAACATATTTAATAAGCAAAAAAACTTGTTTTTTTTTTTCATGTATCAAGATCATGTACTGCCTCAACCCTAAATCTTCTCAGGAGTAACTTACCCTAAAAAGGGACTTAAGTCACTTAATGGTCTACCGTTGAACATAATGTCATAAACCAATGTGTATGCAGTCACTAGACAGTGGCAAGCCCAGACAAACCGTCAGAATATAATTAGTTGCCTCAGATAAGAGGCAATCTATATCATTTTTCTCTCCTTTCTTTAGAGTGCTCAAAAACTTGCAGAGTTTTAGTCATTGGATAATTAACAGATGCATTAAAACAACAAAAACATATCCTGGTCAGGAGTAACAACTGAAATACATTTTATAGAAAAACAAATAATAGCAACAAGTTCTCACACCTGCAATCTTACCAAAAAATGTGCCAGGAACTAGGCACTTCCAAAAGGGACTAAGATAGAAATTTACATACCTCTCTAAATCATGGTCATACAATACTGAGTTGTCACCACTTGTACGGTAGAGAGGTAGTCCTAGTCTTCCAATAACAGGTGCCAAGGGATTTTCATTGCAGACCCCATGTAACCTGAAACACAATGTGAAGATACAAAATGCTAAGGTGGTATCTATATATTCAAACAGAAGAAATTTATTCGGGGCAAAATCGTTACCATGAAGCACCCAAGTCAATAGGAAAACCAAATGAGTAATCAGTGTGAACTCGACCACCAATTCTATTCCGTGATTCCAGCAGAATAACCTGCAAATGAAACACAACTAAGAATGTATCAGTATCCAACTATATCCAATTAAAAACCCAATCAGTATTTGGGGAAAAAAAATACAATAGCAAAACAAGATTATTTCTATTGTCAATACTTGTGTTAAAAACATCGTGGGATCATCGAAAACAAATGTTTGATGAGAAACTCCACAATTTCCCCATTTTTTTAGTCGTTTCAATAAGTAACCCCACAATACTAATACATGGAGAAATGGCTCAAATGTTTTCAGAAGAACTCCTCATGTCTATAACTAGCGATAAAAAGCAGCAGTTGCTTATGTTTCTTGCTGTTCATTTTGGGAAAAAAAAAAACTCATTTGTAGATTGCATGTTAAGGTAAGAAAGAGATACTACATACAAGATTACTGATGCACATCATACTTCATCATACATGCCTTTTAAATACCTGAAATGAAGCATCATGAAGAGCTCGAGCAGCAGCAATGCCAGCGAAGCCACCACCTATGACAATGACAGACGGTGAGGCTGCTGGTCTCCTCTCAACATTTGAATAGCAAAGAGCTGCAAAAAACAAACAGTAAGCTCAGATACGTTCTTAGAGATGAACTTTTCCATAATAATACTTGGCGAGAAATATAGTCATAACGCTTAAGAGAGAGTAAACAAAATTTCAGTCACAAACATTCAAGTCAATATTATAGATTTCCTTTATTGAACAGCCAAAATCTCATGCCTTTACAACATGCTAGAAGATCAGAATTTGTTGTATACATCTCTACCTTTCGCCTTTCAGGCCTATTTAGAAGAGAATCTAGTACTTCTTAACTAAAATGAACTGGTTGTTCATCATTCAAAACTGTTGATTCAATCCACAAAGTGTGTTGTGTATAAGTCATGTTTGGGGTATTTGTTGTTGACCCATTTATTGCCCAAACCTATTAAGCCTAAACCCGAACCCGCTAATTCGAAGTCAATTTTGTGTCAGATTCGTGAGTCCTATCTAGAATTGTCGGGCGTAATGCCAGCAAGGTCCTTGGCAAGAATGGGCCTTGCAACCTGAACCCCCAAAATGTCCCCTAAGGTCATTGTAAAAATGATGCATCCTCTGCCCTGAAGATTAACTACCAGATTTAAAAGGTTTGCTTTAAGAATCAAGCCCCCAAGGAAGGGTCTAAGACGTAGAAAATGTTCATGGCTGAATTGGGATGCCACGAATTGGATGCCAGCATCCAATTGACGTGACTAAGTACTTCCACACCCCGAAACAACAAATTCTAAATAGAATCTCCCCACTTGTTCTCTTTTTGTTGTTATACTATTAGAATTTTTTAAAGTTGTACACTAGTTTTTTTAACGAAGATAACCTAACTAAAGCTTCAATGTTGAAAGCGTTACCTATGAGCAATGGCAGAGCAAGTCAGTCTCTCTCTCAATTTTTTTTTTGCCAACTTTTTTTTATGTATGTTTTATTATACCTCAAAATTTTCCCCCTCTATAAAACTCCAATGCATTTTAATTCATATACTCATCTTTTATATTTTAACCAACAAATGCTCAGTCCTCAAACTTTTGTTTTAAAATGAATGAAATAATAGAAAGAAAACAACTCTTGAGATACCCTAGAGGAGAAATATGAAATCTCACGAACTGCTGACATAAACATACTCAAATAACTATTTTGGAGCCAAAAAGAAAGCACACACAGTACATGCTTTTGGATTGGGTTCATTTCCAGTCCCTCCATTATACATCACCCAAAGTGCATACTACTGGAGGGGCCCAATTGAATTAAAAAAGGGTCCCACTTCAATACTCGCCGACAATTAAAGCAGAAAAAATAACTCACCTTGATGGTTAAAAAAAAACTACACCAAATAAATTCAACTCAACTATCAAAACTTTTTTTACTATTAAACATGCATCTACCTCTCATATTCGTATCGAGATGTATCAAATCATTCTCCCTAGCGCGTTACTTGCGTTAGTAGGTCTTATACAAAAATGTCCAATCTTAATTTAAACTGTACCAAAAATTAAACTAAAATAAATAATGAAAGTGAATTCCAGACGAACCTCTGCTTAATTGACGATTACTCTTGACTCGTGACTCCATGATTCGACGAACGGCGACCAATGCAACGATAATCTGAATAAATACTACTACTACTCCTTAATAATAATAATAATAATAATCTTAGTAACAATAATAATTGGAAACAATTAGAATTTGATTGCAAAGGTTTGTCGAATTCAAGCAATGAAAGAGGAGGTAATTGAGGTGAGTAATGGAGAACGAAAACGAGAAGACAGGTGATGAAATGGTTTGAATTTGAAGAGAAACCCAGCTTTACCAAACAGCTCATACGTATTCAAAACCTACCCCCAAAATTAATGTCGGTAGATATAGCAAAAATACGCAATTATTCGGTGAAAATTAGCAGATCCAGAAGATTTATGTTTTTCCCATACATATACACACGAACACCAGAATTTGAAACAAATCGTAAGGTGTTGAGAGAGAGAGAGAGAGCGAGAGGATGAAATCGGAAGGTTTGATAGGGTAGAGAAGTAAATTGCGAGAGAAGTTGTTGAGAGACGACACTGGTTGGTATCTCGGGGTTTGTTGGTTAATTTGGACTCTGATTGCTTTCTTATTGCTATATAGATTCCACTGGCCGGTATTTTTCTGCCACGTGTTAAATAACTTTCTCGAGTGAAACGCATGAATTCCAAGATTGCTTTTTATTATTACTTTAGGGCTAATTACAAATTATACCCTGAAAGATCGTTCGAATCTTAATTTATAACTTCAAAGATTAAAAATCTCAATTTACACACTCAAGGATAAAAATTTGTATCAATGTGCACCTCCAAAGATCAAAAATCTCAATTTACACCCTCAAAGATAGACATTTGTATCAATGTGCACCCCCAAAAATAAAAAATCTCAATTTACACCCTCAAAGATAGAGAATTTATATCAATGTGCACCGAAAATTAAATTGATAAATTATATCTAGATTTTTTTATACTTGTCACTTAATCATTTGAACTCTTTCACATTAAAATATTACTCCTACATCTCATGACGTTTGTGCACGTGTAACACGTAACCTCTTTTCGTTGATATCTGTTAATATAACCGTTAAAAAATATGATTTTATCATAATAAAAAATTATAATTTTATATTACCCTTTATTTTATGGGTCCAATATACTCTAAAGTTCAAAATCAAGTTTATCATTTGAATGTCTAATAGAATAAAAGGTTGCACATTGAGTGATATATTGCATGGAATAAAAAAAATATTATATAAATATCTACATTTTATTGGACATTCAAATGGTAAACTTGATTTTGAATTTTAAAGTATATCAGACCCACAAAATAAAGGGTAATATGAAATTATAATTTTTTATTAGGATAAAATCACATTTTTTTAACAGTTATATTAACATATATCAACGAAAATGATTTATGTGTTACACGTGCACAAACACCTTGAGATGTAGGAGTAATATTCTAAACGTGAAAAGGTCCAAATGATGAAGTGAAAAGCATGAGCGGATCTAAGTATAATTTATCTATTTAGTTTTAGGTGTACATTAATACAAATTTCAATCTTTGGGGGTGTAAATTAAGATTTTTATCTTTGGAGGTGCACATTGATACAAATTTCTATTTTGAGGGTTCAAATTGAGATTTTTAATTTTTGGAGGTGCATATTGATATAAATTTTTATTTTTGAGGGTACAAATTAAGACTTTTAATTTTTGAGGGTCTAAATTAAAATTTAAACTATCTTTCAGGATACAACTTGCAATTAACCTTTTTTTTTTAAGGTGACACGCAAACCCAATACAAATAGAAACATTTAGTTACACCTCTTTTATCTTATTATATTTTTAAATATATCCCTTTTATTATTAAAAATATTATTGATACCTTTTTTAGTTTATATTTAAACATCACTGACACCCTTGTCATTAAATCACCATTTCTAACCAAAAAACAAAAATCTAAAATATCCAAAATACCCTTTCATAAATACCAAACAATCTTTCTACATAAATTCGATTAAAATTTAAGACGATTAAAATTTATTTTTATACTTATTAAAATTCGAGTTGATTAAAATTCGTTTTGCTATATATTAAAATTTGAGTATATTAAAACTTGATTCAAGCTGATTATATTATATTTTATTTTACGTATTAAAATTTAAGATTACTAAAATTCTTTTATTTATGTATTAAAATTTAAAACGATTTGAGTTTTACCTAAGATTGTTAATACCGATTAAAATTCGTTTCAAGTCGATTAACATTTATATTTTTTTATGTATAAAAATTCATGCTAATTAGAATTCGATTTAAGTTGATTATAATTTATTTTTTACGCATCAAAATTTGAGTTGATTAAAATTTATATTTTTTATATATAAAAATTAGAGTCCAATGCGAGTTAATTAAAATTTAGTTTGAGCCGATTAAAAATAATTTAAAATATTTTTAATAGCCCCTAATTTTAATCGTAAAAATATAATTTTTAATTGACATGATTTTTAATACATAAAAAATAAATTTTAATTTGCTTGATTCAAATTTTAATTGCCCCGAATTTAATACAAAAAAAATTTAGAAAACAAAAGGAATCCCATTGAAGATATGTCTGTATAGAGGAAGTGCAAATGAAGTTTTTTCTCAAATATATCATGGACAATTTAGTAAAATTATATTATATTTAATACTTTAATCTGACAGAGAGTGTCAGTGAATATTCAAAAAATAGAGGGTGTATTGTTAAAAATATGATAAATTAAAAAGGGTGTAGCTGAAATTTTCTTAAAAATTATTTTTTTGTCCATATTTAATCATCACTTGACAAATTTATGATAAAAAATCGTTAGTATTATGGACGTTGTCTGTTTGAAGGACCATATAGAAACATTAGTTATTTTATGTACCTGAAGGCACGAAGTAATAAAAAAAATAGTCAATAAACATATTTATATTCATACCAAAAATTAAATCATAAAAAAAAAATTAAGCATCTGTTGTAATGGGAATGAAGGGTGATAATGGTGATGGGTGGTAATGGTGGTGGGGGGGAAAATGGTGACGATTGTAGTGGATGGCGACGACCGTGGTGGTGGTGGCAACTGTGGGTCATAACAGTGATGGTGGTGATAGATTTTGGGTGACGATGGTGATACTAACAACCATGGGTGAATGCGGTTTATGGTGGTGGGTGTGGGTGATGGTGGTTGATAGTGGTGGTGGCAGAGCGACGACAGTGGTGGGCGGTGATAATGGTGGTTACAGACGACGACAGTGGTGGTTGTAGATGTGGTGGGGGTGGGTGATAGTGGTTATAGACGATGATGTACGACGACGAATGGTGGTGAGTTGTGGTAATGGATGGTGACAGTGAGAGACGGTGGTAGTGATAATAAATATACAAATGAGATGACAATGGTAGAGGGTAGACGATGGTGGTAACAATTGGTGGTGGTGGTGGGGGGTGGGGTAGAGGTGATAGAAGTGGAGGTGGGGGCAGTGGCAGTGATGACGACGGCTGCGATAGTAGTGGTGGCAACGGTGGTGGTGGGGCAATGGTGATTATGGCAGAGGTGGTGAGGGGTCTGGTAGTGATGGTTATGGTTGTGGTTGTGGTGGTGGAGGTGATGGCAGGGCAGTGGGGGGTGGTGGGTATGATGGGTTGGTGGTGGGGATAGTGTGATAATAGTGATAATGGTAATGGGGCAATGAGTTTGGTGGTAGGGTGGCGACAGTGGTGGTGGTGGTCGTTGTGGTAGAAGTGGCGATGGTGACGGTGGTAGTGATAATGGTGGTAGGGCGGCGGTGGTGGTGGTGATGATAGGGTGGCGGTGATAGTGGTAATGGTAATGGTGGTGAGGCAGTGGTTGTGGTAGTGATGATGGGACAATTTCAAAAACTATTTTTTTTGTTGAAATATTTATGAGAAGTTATAAATTCTAAAAATATTTTTAAAAAATCGCTTCAAACACACCCTTTGGGACCTATTTTCCCTATTAAAATTAATATGTTAATATTAGCCGTCGAATTAAAAAAATCTCAACCACAAAAAGTAAAAGTCATTTTGTTTATCTTTTGAAAATTTAATTGTATTGTACTTTATTATATAGATATTCAATATTTTATGATCCAAATGATACAATTAAAATATAGGGGACTAAAATGAGATAAATTTTATATTTGTAGGATTTTCAGTGCAATTACCCATAATAATTAAGAATATCACACAATAACGACATTTTGTACCACCAATGTTAGGTTGAGTAAAATCTTTTGAGAGAGAGAGAGAGAGTGGCCATGAATATTTTTCTTTTCTTTTTGAGAAAGGAGGAAAATGTGGAGATTTTGAGAATATCATAGATGAAAGATTAATGGACCATTGCGACATATCACATATTGCTACTGTCCATAGATTTAAAATACCAGGAATCTGTTAATCATCTATAATATCCTGACCACAAATAAAATCTATAATATAAAATAGGTCGGGTTTTAACAAATTCATTCGACAGTTTTAAATAGGTTTATCTAACAGTCACTAACATCCCTCTCAAAACCATTTATATTGAATTTTTTTTTCTCTTAAATCTATTACTTCTCACTTACGTTGCACCGTGTTTTCAAACACGGGTTACCCTTTATATATTACTAGTAATGTTTTGTACGTCTTTTTCTAAAACATACTTTTCTGATTTGCAGTCTACTCTGACTAAAAATTTCTGATTTAGTATATCATCCTGAAATTTTGAGATACACAGGACAATAGCTAAAATTTTTTTTTTAATTGTACTATAATTTGCTTGTGCCTTATTTCAAATACCAGAGTGAAAACGAACAATTTGCTCTGGGGAGTCTGGAGTAAGTTTTTGAAGTAAGATACCGTCGTAGCCAATGTCGGAGGCATCAGTGTGAATGATTTTAAAGGAATCAACCAAAGGAATATCAAGGCAAGACAAAGTTTTAATGAACTGCTTGACTTGCTGAATTATGGATGTATGAACAAATGTCCAAGGAGGAGGATTTCCTTTTAGTCTGTCATACAGAGGTTTGACGGTTTTCCTAAGATCCTGATAGAAGTCAGAAACGTAATTTAGGGAACCTAAAAACCTTTGAAACTGGGTTTTATCAATAATCTCATCAGGAAACTTATTTGCAAATTGGATAGACCGGCTAATGGGAATAATAGTGGATTGCTGGATGTTGTATCCTAAAAACCTTACTGAGGTTTGAAACAACTTGATTTTACTAACCGAGATGACAAGACCATTGTGTTTGACAATCTCAATGAATGCATAGAGGTGCTTCCAGTGTTCTTCTATAGATCTGGAGAAGATGAGAATATCATCTATATAGACTATAGAAAAATGACTAATGCAATTAAAAATTTCATTCATTATATTCTGAAATTCATTAGGTGCATTTTTTAATCCAAAGGACATTACATTCATTCGTAATGACCAAATGGAGTTGTAAATGCAGTTTTATACTTATCTTCTGGATAGATTTGAATTTGTCAGTAACCACTTTTTAAATCAAATTTGGAAAAGATTACTGAGTTA